TATCTACAAATATTATTTATAAAATATTATTTTTTTAATTAGTACAAGTTATTACAAAATTATTAATTTATTAGAATATATTAGTGTTGGATTTTCTTAAGAGATAAAAAAAATAATTTTGAACTTTTGATTCAAGACATGTGTAAGGTATGTTGGTTTCAGATAGTTAATTAAATAAATAAAATTAAAATTAATTATATTCAATATAAATGTGTTAAATAATGTCCTTGTTTTTTTTTAATTTGTTAAATTGATGAGATTTTTTTTAATCAAAATATTATCATTGTTTCTTATACAAATTTAAAATGTTACACTACACAGTTGATATTAATGGCAAATTTGAACTATTTAATTATTATGTTAGAGAAAATCTTGTGATCTAAATCAACCGTAATCTTTGACTAGTTGTGAGGAAAATAATAAAGGAAAAAAATTATAATTTCTTGACTCTTGGATGAATGAATTTGAGACCGTAGAATGTATTCTAAGATCAATCGTAATCGTTGATTTTTTTAGAGGGAGGAAATATTAAGGAAAACAATTGTAATTTTTTGACCGTTGGATAAATGAATTTGAGACCATAGAATCAGCTTCTTGAAGCCGCCCTGTTTTATGTAATAGATATATAGTATAAATTTATGTCAGGTTCATGAGTTGTATGTAAAATTGTCAAGTCTAAATAAATAGACTATAATCACTTACTTTTTCTTTTTTTTTTGGAAAAATGAAATTTTATTCCATGAAAAACAATTTACAAGAAGCAAAGAGGATCGGACCAAATTGGCTTAATCCTTCAAAACACCTTATAATCAAAAGAATTACATCAATGAAAGTCCAAAAAATCTCAAAATTGCAAAAAGGAAATTCAGATAAATCAGTTGAAGCCCTTGCTGGTCATGCAATAACAGCAGCCTTGGTTGCACAAGAACAGTCTGATCTTGGAGAAAAATAGAGGAACGCCCTTGCAGCACTGCCAGATTAGCAAAATAATCTGCCAGACAGTTGGTCTCCCTATAAACATGCTGCAAACTGAACTCCAAGCAGTCCAAACTCTCCAAAATCTGCCTTAAAAAACACCAGAATTTCCAAGCTCTATGATGTCTTTTCAAGACCATCTGCACCATGACCTCAGAGTCAGTTTCAATCTGAAACTTAAAACCCAGCAGGTTATACCTCTCTAATAAAACCAGACCATCTCTTAGAGCCCCTAACTCTGCCTCCATGTTTGAACAGTCACCATAGCAAAAAGAAGCAGCAAGTATCAATTTACCGCAATGCAATGATTTCTGACTACTACTCCCCCCCCCCCCCCCCCCCCAAAGCCTTACCAGGATTTCCTTTGGAAGCTCCATCAACATTGAGTTTCGGCTTACCATAAGAAGGAGGAAACCATTTAACCCACGGGGAAATAATCTGAATCTTCTGAACATATTCAATCCCCAAAGCCTGCAAAACCTCCTTTCCCCTTTCACTTTCTACTGCACTTGGCCTAAACACTTTAGCTTGCATCCTCACAACCTCACAAACTCTTACAGAAATAGCATGAGGAGATAAACAACCCTCATCATAAACTCTCCTACACCTTTCCTTCCAAAGAAGCCAATACACTATCACCGACACACCTCTCATCAGAGCATGATGCAAAGAACCCTATATAAAGATTCTCACCAATCTCACCATTCTAAGACTATAATCACTTACTAATTCATAGTTTTGCTTAAGGAAAAATTATGGTGCACTACCGAACTAACAGACAGAAGTAAACTAAATTTTATTTTAAAACAGTCAAAGCATCTGAAATATTTTCATTTTTAAAAAAAATAAAAAATGAATCATTGAATATTAAAATTATTATATTTTAAGGTGTTTCACTAATATTTTAATATATTTCGACGAATATCTCGAAATGAAAGTTTCAAAATTTTTATTTGTTTTTATATTGTTTTCAAAATACTTTTCAAAAAGTTGATGTTTTTAAACTAATCAAAACAAAATTTTGATGCTGAACAAAAGTATTTTATGCTTTCAAGATAACATTACTATTATTCCTAGAATGCAAAAAACTGGCGAGTAACGTGTATGGTATGGGCCTTTGGTCGAAGAACCGTTGAGCAATCCACGCTTCATCGCCTGAAGTTGATTCCTCAATCATTTGCCACAACATTTTCTTTCTCGGCACATTCTACCAAATTGCTATAACCTTACCGTCCGATTCATCGGATCTGCTTCCGATTTTCAGAATCCGATCCGCGAATTGTTGTCGTCGAACCCAAACCCTATGTTTGCATCGTCCAGCGCAAAGTATGAGCTAACCTAACCTTTGATTGCTTCCATTCACGAGAATTTAAAATTGAACAAAAAAATTGACACGGATAAGGAAGAAGAACCAGTATTCAGTGGGATAAAATACGACTGAGATTGCGAGTGAAGTGAGCACAGGGGATGCCAAGCATTCGAACGAGCCGAGGCACCGAAGAGAGAGAGAGAGAGAAATTTCAAACAAAATGGTGAGACTGATAGACACCGCTGAGAACAAAAGAGAGGGAAAATTAAAATTTGGTATAATACCTTCTAAAGTTTATCATTTAATCACTTAAATCTTAATATTTGAAATATTATATATAGATCCTAAAATATTTGTATATGCATAACACTTAAACTTTTATCATCAATGTTCATTATTATATCTGTTAATAAATTACACCCAGACTCTTTGAAGTTTGTAAACTTGTAATATATATCACTCAAGTTTAAAATATTATATATATATATTAAAAATATTTCAATAAAAGCTAGAATATCAAATATTTTAAATTTTATAACCAAAATTCATGTTCTATATATATACTAAAAATATTTCAATAAAAGTTAGAATATCAAATATTTCAAATTTACCAATATTCATGTTCTATTATGACATTTATAGAAATAAAATCAAAAATAAAAATTTGACTTTTTCTTAAAAAAATCATATTTAGTATACAATTTTATTATCTATTATAACTTAATTTGATCGTCTAAACGACCAAACTAAATTACCAAATTACCCTAATTAAAGTTAGAAGATATTGTATCCATTAATATTTGATTTTTAATTTTATTTCAATAGATAGTATAATTGTATATTAATTATAATTTTAAAGGAAAAATTAGATATTTATTTTAATAAATGACATAATAGAATATGAATTTTGGTTCTAAAATTCATGTTCTATTATGAATCACTTAGATCGCTTGTTCAAATTTTTAATTTTATTCTAATAGATAATATAATTTTATACTAATTACGGATTTTTAAGAAAAAATTTAGATTTTTATTTTCGATTTTATTTCAATAAATGATACAATAGAATATGAATTTTGATTATAAAATTTAAAATATTTGATATTCTATTTTTGATTATAATATTTTTGGTCTAAATATAATATTTTAAATTTGAGAAATCTAAATATTATACATCTATAAACTTTAGAGGGTCTAAGTATAATTTATTAAGGCATATACTAACGAACATTGACGATAAATATCTAAACGTTTCATATGTACAAATCTCAAGAGGGTATGTATATAATATTATAAATATCAGAGAATTTAAGTAATTAAGTGACAAACTTCAAAGTTGGATGTAATCCTCTCAAAAAATTTCAAACAAAGAGCACCATACTTGTTCACGAAGCTAAATATTTTATTGATTAAAAAATTAAGTATAAATAAGTCTGATTTGTTGTTATGTTTTATGTAAACAAAAATACGAATTGTAATTTCTAATCCTAACCACTTTTTAAGCAAACTGCAATTTCAAAATATAAAAGTTAAAAAAAAATTGGTCAAGGCTTTAGCCTTGACGTGCATGGAGTTGGTGGGCCCAGCTGTTTTGTTTTTGGTTGGACAGAACTTGAGGTATAAGAACAAAACAAAGGTAGGTAATTAACAAAAAAAAGTTGAATATTATTTTGGATCCTTAAAGTGTATATGTTTTATCAATTTATTCTCAAAAGATTAATTTTTTTAATTTAATCCCCTAAAAAATTTAATTCATATTTAAATGATGTCTGCACAAACGAACCGTTAAATTTTTAATGAAATTAGTACGTGTTTATCGTGTGATACCATCTGAATTGTTTGATTAAAGACCAAAGTGATATAAATGAAAATTTTAGGAATTAAATTGACAAAATTAATATAATGAGAATCAAACTTATAAAATAGACATATTTAGTGACCAAAAGTATTATCAACAAAAAAAAAAAAGGGTTGGCAAAAGCCCTTGGCCCAATGCAACGATGACACTATGTCATCACCGCCACACACTGTTAGTATCCAATTAGAAAATTACAAGTTGGCAAACTGAACTTCACTATTTTTATAATTACCACTAACCACCACATCCAATCATCAACACATATGATTAATGTGGTTCACTTCATCTAAGCAAGCCATTCCTTGGCTTTGGCTCAATCATATTACATAAATCACACGTTTTGAGGTAAGAACGTAGAGTAATGTACCATAATTTTGACGATCTATCAAGACTTGAAGAATCGTATTGACTCTAATAGTCAGTTATCTAGACTTTCAAGATTAAAAGTTGGCTCTAATACTAATTTTTTGGAATTACTTCAATGTTAATTTGGTTCGAAAATTGATCTAATATCACCCTATTAGAGTCAAAAGGATTAGAAATAAAATGTAAAAAAATAAAGAGGATATGAACACTCAAACAAAAAATTATTCATTTAGGTTGATTACAACCACAACTTGGACTCTTCACATACTAATTTAAGTATACTAATTACCTCTAATACTAGATCTCTAATACTAGATCACGTACCCTATTTACATAGACTTTAAACATAACTTCTAACATTACATTGCGGTATCACTACACCCACTAACTCTGGCAATATTTAGAATATTAAGACCCACTTTTCTCATTACCAGGAGAATTCACTCATCCACTACATGGTATATTAATATACCACTAGCCCACTAACACACATTATTAACACACCTTAAAAACATAATAAAACTCTAAAACAAGTTTATTTTTCAACATTGGTTCCAGATCCACCGTCATCGTTACTGGTCAGCGGAAGTTTGGCTCCAGCCTTCCGAATTTTTCTTCCCCATATAATCACCCACCTCTGGAAGAAAGTTATAACGAAGGCAGATGCCAAAAGGGCATAAGGAACAATTCCTTTCGTGATACTGGCTATTGCAAATCCATAGGCAACTATCATCGAAACCATAGAAATCAAAAGCTCCCTTTGGAATGGAAATCCAATAGTGAGATAAGTTATGATACTGAGAGCCGCAGTAAGCCCCAAGGTGTTTGCAAACACAAAAAAAAATGTTATAGCATTAGTTTCCAAATCAGAGGAGTTTGAATTCCCTTTCAGGATGCCATCTGGAGGGTCCACGCCTGCTTGAAATGTGACCGTGGCAATCAGAGCAGCCACCACTAGCAGTTCATTACGTGCGACATGGGGTGAATCTCTTTCCTTTTGATACTTGAAGTTGTTGACCAAATCGTTGGAAGATTCTCGTTGACGTACATTCTTGGCTTGTTCAGTTTTTGCAACCTGTTGAAGAGAAGCTGTGGAGATAGTGTTAGCATGTTGGGCACCAAGTGCCCCAGGACGTTGAAACGTTTCTTTCAGGTGGAGATCCTTGGGTCTTTCTATGACTGTATCCACCACATCCATGGCTGTCAAACCCTTCAAATTTGTGGCATTCACCTCCACTGTCACACTGATTGAGTTATTGTTATTAAGGAGTAGTTCTATGGTCTGCATCAGAGAAACTGTTGTAAATTATTCTGTAGACACTTTATGGTCATTCCATGGAAAAAAAAACATCCAAGAAATTCTCCTATATATATTATCTAGTCTTTCATAGAAGTATGGAAGATAAACAAGGCATTAATAAAAAAATTTCTACTCTCTATAATTAAGGTTGTCAATGAGTCGTGTCGTGTTAGAATCTATTTAACTTATGTCCAGAAATATCGAGTATGATAACAATATAAAAAACAAACATACGATCGTAAAAAAAGAGTCAAGGAAATTTGATAGATTTGAACTTCATAAATGATCTCATATTCATAAATACCCTTATAAATGAAAATACATTTATAACCCCCACACCTAAACACACTTAATTTCAAATATTTTTTATCTTTAACCCGAGAACTCTCATTGTTTATTAATTACCACTAATCTGGTAACTAAACCTCTCAATATCACACATCATTAGTCTAATGACTGATCCGTATGTGCATATCTCTATGTTAATCACATCGATATCGCTCCAATTTTGTTACCTTTGAAATCTGGTAACCCAATTCTCGTCTTATAAAACATGGTTTTAAGAAACACACCAATATTATTATTTTAGTCGCAACACATGCAAAATCCTCTCTTTATCTCCAAAGCATATTAAAACAATAGAATAAAGTCATCCCACATATTTTCATCATTGACAATTGAAAATTATAAAATATTTAATTGCAACTGCAAACATATATATATATATATATATATATATATATATATATATATATATATATATATATACAAAATATTTATACACACCCACATATTTAATAAAGGAAATTATCCCAAAAGGAATAATTTGTTCCAACCTCAATATATATAATCATTACCTCTCTTGAGCTTTTGTAGTTCCAGAGCCTCACTTCTTCTCCTTCTTCCCTATTGGTGTATATGGGTATAGTCTATTGAATCTGGTTTATTCTCTTTTATTTTCAGGCAGCAGCACCTCTTCTCATTTTATAGACTCATTCTCTTTCTTTATCATGAATGATAACACGCATCTCACTTCACAACAAAACATATGGCCCCTCACCTCGTTTTCCCTTTTACTACACCACAACACACATCATTATATTTTTCCACATGGGGCCCACCACTTCATTTTACTTTGTCTTTTTGTTTATCTTATATGATCTTTAGCTAGTAAATTTTTAATTAGGATAAATTTCATCTTCGACCGTCTAGATATGCTTAACATCAATGACACCCTTTTCTTGTTCTAAAATCTCACTGACACCTCTTGTCATAATTTGTTGGTTGACAGCATTAACGAGATAGTTCTTTTATATTTTTTGTCAATATAGATTTCATATATCTACCAAAATATATAACAACTATATATATAACCATATATATATATGGTTATATATATATAACACCCTTTACCGTCCGATTCTTCGGTTTCAGATAACGCACCTCTCTCACTCATAACATAAATCAACCATTTAGCAGACATCCTGTGTGTCTCTCTGCATATCCTTCTGCTCCCCCAACTTTCTCTCTCATGCTTGAAAACTCATCTATTTGAAGATTTTTGGTGGTTAGGTGATAAAGATATTTGTAACTTCCTATAATAATACGAATTCGACTTCACTTGTTTTGGGCTTAATTCTTTTTTTAAACGAGTTGAGTTTGAATAATTTTTTATGTTCATTAATAAAAAAAAACTCAACATATTCGATCCGGACTCTCAAATCTAGGCTTAATTTTTAGTCATATTAGCATGCCAAGAAAAGTTCGATTTTGTTATCCCACCCCATAAAAGATTTTCCAAACACAAAATAAGGGGGCCCAGGTTTTTTATATCCAATAGAAATTGACCATAAACCGACCAGAACCAAGACCATGCAGTCAATGGAAAGTCTTTGTCCAAGTTTTCTAATTTAACACGCCAAAGACTTTTAAAGGGCATGATTGGTTCGATTATAAACAAATGATGAAACTAGGTAATTAATTTCTATCAAATTCATACAAATGATATTAACACTGGAAAAAATAGGACATCTAGTTAAGAAAATTATTGTACCAAGTTAACGTTGCCACCAAAAATAAAATTTTTACCACAATAAGAAAAACATCGCTAACTATAAAATATTTAACCGTAATAATTATAGTAGCAAGTTAATGTATTTTTTTCCTAAAATATTCCATGTTGCCACTAAAAGTTAATATAAATTTAACTTTTAGTGGCAATGATTAGTTACAACTAAAAATTCACGGTCAAAATTAAAATCACCACTAAAATACTATAACTTACTTTTAGTGACAAATCACACACCACTAAAATCACCACAACTTATTATTCATAATGTTGAAATGAATAAAAAATTTTGATTGAATATTTTCCAATTCACACACCTGATATTCAAATAAATAAAACAATAAAATAAATAATAATGAAATAATAATATAATAAACGCTTGATCACCAACTTAATATCAAAACTCTTTGTTTTACTTGGCAAGATAGGAATTCGAAAAGGGTAACACTAATTATACAATACTAGATGCCGTGACAACTGTGAAATACAAAGCATGCAACAAGGAAATAAAGAGTGATGCAGTTCATGTCACTAATCAGTGTTCAAGTTTGCATCAACTTTTTCTTAGAATTTAATAGTTTGAACTGGATTAGAGATGTCACTAAAAAGAATAAATGTGGTTAGTCTTAAGGGGTATGAGAATGAATCTGAGATTTTTGGGTAATTAAATATCAGATTCAATCATTGAGTAATTAAATATCAGATTCAATCATTGAACGACCTTTAAATCTAGCAATTATCGTTAACAGCACGAAGATAAGCTGGAAAATGAAGCATGAATCACGAAGGCGCAAAAAAATAAAAAAAAAAAACAATAATTAGTAGAAGTGATAAAAATAAATTAATTATTTAATACTATAGTGGCCCATAATAGACTTAGAATTTATTTCTACTCAATTATGTTCCACTATAGTTTGTCGGCCATTAAATTTCTTTAATTATATTTTATCCCTTACATATAGTTTGTCGGAACTTGACTGTTTGGTTGATTCTACGAAACCTGTTGGAGGGTTCATAATTGCTTAAAAGGTGAGTAGGTTATCCCTTAGCCTAGCTCTAGCTAGTAGGTGCTCCCTGATAGCATATCATTACTATGAAACGAATTCAAGATTTTATCTTGAGAGGGTTAATAATGATATATGAATAAAAAATTAATTTAATGAAGTTATTCAATGGTCATTATTAATGATAAATTTTTATTTATAAAAAATTTATTAAATTTAATTTTTATGCAATGTCATTGAAAAATTAATTTTGAGCACAAAATGCAAAAATTAGATTATGTCATCATAAAAATTTATTTGTGACAATATTATCATCCTCTTTTTTTTTTATAATCTAACTTTATGTCTATAAATAAATTATAGTCACAAAAGAGTCACTTTTTTTTCGTCTAAAGTCATAAAAATAATTTAACAAGTGTCTTTGTCAGTACAAGCGATATTCATATATGAAATTACATTCTAAATGATTAGGAAATATTAAGTCACTAATCTTTATAAATACACCAAGTCAGATACTTAAGCGTTGGTTGTTTTGAAAAGCTAGAAGTTAGCAATAAATTTTTTTAAAAATATGGGGGGACAATCAAAATTTTTAAACTTTGAGGACTCAAAGTAAGTGCAGCCACTACTAGCAATTCATTGAAAGACCCATAAAAGTAAATTAAAAACAGAAATTTCTTATTAATGTATATTTTAAAAAAAATTAGAGGTATAAAAAATAATTTTTAAAACTTGAGGGGGTCATAGCCTCTCTTTCTTTCTTTGAACAATCAAACATTACAACAAATAACAATCATTTACCTTTGAGTAGACTTGCTATTTAGAGTCCATCCACCTCAGTCTCTATTTTTCCTCTTATGTCCCACGGCTAAGTGGGTAGAATTGCTATCTAGAGTCAATCTTTTTTGCTTACATCACATGAGTGATGGCATTAGGTGATGCAATGCTTGCATCACCATAGACATTTGTTCAAACTTTAGCAATTTTTTTTTTTAAATCTGGAGACTTGTAAACATTCTTTCGCTCCTTCTTTGTTTTAGTGAAATTAGTCATTGCATGAGTCGTCCTGTATAATAAACCACAACACATTTGGATAAACTTTGGACGCATTGAAAGTTATTTTTTATGCTTTTAAACTTGTTATAAGATCAACTTATTATTGTATAAAAATTAGAATTATCGTTCGATAGATATAGAACTATCTCGTAATAATATAAAAAAAGCGTCATAAAAAAATTAAAATGAGAAAAATTAAACTTTAAAAACTTTTATAAACAAAAAACTTAGTTAGATGATCTTATTTTCAACTCAGAAAATCAACAGAGGGACTAAGAGAGTTAAAAAAAAGGGTTAAATAAAAAAATAAAAAAAAATTCTATATTTAGGATTGTGACCTCCTTGCAGTTTTAAGTGTTGTACTAAATTCCCCTCAATTAAAAACTATAGTGCTACGGTAAATGTCTGTTGCAAAATTTTAAAAATACTAAAATATCCTCATTTAGTTATTTAATTTTCGTTCCAATACCTTTCTCCTACCTCAATATCTGTGATAGCACCCTTTAACTTTCTCTCTCTATTTCTCTCTTGCCATCCATTCTTTTCCACGAAAAATCATTTACCTCAATTGTTTGTCCATTAACACCACACTTGTTCGTCATTTTGTCCTAGAGAATACCACACAATTGCTTCCATCGAGTAAATCAGAGAACCCACCATGCAAGAACTAGCAATTGCTTCCATTCCTGCAAAAGCCTCTAGCATATTACATGCAAGGCCTCCAACCAAAACCAATTCCACCATCTTTTTACCCATTACCAAATACATCACTCACTACTCGCTGAACAACTCCTTCTATGCAGTTGGTAATGTGAGTGTCCCCACAACTCTCAAAATCCACCCAATTTCGGCAGGGGGAGTTTCGGCGAGGGTGGGCTGGGATGGGGGAGTTTCGACGGGGTGAGAGTGTTGTGGCGGGTGGGAGAGGTGCTGCAGGGGTGGGGTCAGTTTTGGGAGTTCTGACGAGGATGGGCTAGGGTGGGAGTGTTACAGGGGGTGAGTTTTGGTGAGGAAGAGAGGATTTGAAGAGGTTGTGTGTGTGTGTGAGAGAGAGAGAGAGAGAGAGATGGCTAAGTAAGGCGTGGGTTGGCATGGGGGAGGTGATGCGGGGTTGGGTTTTTCTGCGAGAGTGGGCTGCGACGGCGGTGTTGCAGGTAGGCCTGTTATTAATGGACTGGATTTCATTCTATCTGTATCCGTTTAAGTGAATAAAGATTAGATTTTTAATTCATTAATTCGACTTAAATTCGAATCTGATTAGAGTTGTTTAAACAAATTCGAATATATATTTATAATAATCTGATTTAAATAAAAAAATATATTATAAAAATAAATACCACAAATATATTATACTTATACTAAAAAATAAGTAAAAATATAATGAATATCATAATGCATGACCCATTTTTTTTTCATTTTCATTTTTGTTTCTCTCTCTTTTGGTTTTCCCTCTTGTTTGTACTTCAATTTTTCATTTTCCCTCCTCTTCTTAGTTCATTATCTAAATTTTTATTGTTAATTTTTTGGTGTACTACTTTTTGTGATAATTGGATCGGATTTTGAATCAGATTTTTAGATCATAATGGATTCAGACATGAATTGAAATTTTCAAATCTACCAAATTATTGAATGACAAAAACTCAATCAGATTTGAATTCGGATATAAGACAATCCGGTCTATATCTAATTCGTTGGCAGGCTTAAGTACAAATGGTGGGTTTTGATGGGGAGAGAGAGAGAGAGAGAGAGAGAGCTAAGCAGAGGGTGGGCTGGCATGGGGGAGGTGCTGCAGGGGTGGGCTTTGCTGTGGGAGTGGGCTGC